ACTTCCCCATTCAGGTCCCAGGTAAACGGACTGACACAATGAGAAACAAGAAAGTGAATTGTGATTCACTAAATCACCCCCATTATTATTGAATTGATATTTTATTTCTTCAATTAAAAGAATATCATAGTTTTTTAAATTCTCTAAAATACTTTTAATTATGCAAATTATAATTGAAAGCCTATTAAGAATAATTATGTAATAATCTAAATGTAATATTGGAATTAATAAATATTGGAGAAGCTAGAAAATAGATCATTTGTGTCATTAAAGAACTTCAGATAATAAAATTAAATAAGGAATAAGCTTAAATTATTATTTTAAAATGAAATAAAAATTCATTAATTTAATAATTCACTGGTGCAACAATCTACTTTAGCGTATTAAAGAGTAAAACAAAAATGGTGTCAAAATGCTGTATATATATTCAAGAGAATACACAGGCTAAACGGAGGAATTATATGAATTTTTAGATACATGTAAGAGCATCAACTTCCTTATTAACTTTCCAATGATAAATAATTCTTTTTGTTTTAGGAAAACCTTGTGAATAATAAATTTTTAATTGGATGAAAAAATTGAGCAAATAATAAAAATTTGAAAGAATTAATTGTTAATTAAAAAGGTAAAAATCTTTAGCCTTATCAGATTTAATTCTCTTATCGCATAAATATAATCAATTTTAGAGCTATAAAATAAACAAAGGTTAAGTTTGTATTAAACAGAAGAAAATAGATAATTGAGATTTAAATAGCTTTTTATCTTTTACTGTGGTTATATTTTTTTGAGAATTGTATTTACATTGGAATTTATATTATTGCTTAGTATATATCATAAATCTGTTAATAAATTGTAATCTCTTCTCAAAATCATCAGACTCACGATTTTTAATTTATTATAAAACTAATGATAGTTATGTAGTAATATATCCTTACCATCGCAAGGAACTCAATTATATTATAAAAAAAATTATTAGGATTTATTTTTTAAATTACAATTTTAGCTTTACAATATTCCACCATTAAAATAAATCACTATCTTAGTAATTTTATTAATCAGTTAAAAGAATTCCAATTAGAATTTAATTACTTAATATAACTTAAATATTTTTCAAATATGTTTACACAAATTTATAATTTGAATTCTATTTATATATATCTTTAGATGTACCATAACAAATATACTTCTAATCTTAAGATAATCCAAAATACAAGGTAATTTATGAAATTTTGTCAACTCGTTTAGAAAAGATAAGTTAATGAAAAATTCATTAAAAAATACATTGATTGTATTTATCATAGTAATTGATGGCAAAAAAAATTAAATTTCTTCATACACTGACAAAAGTTTGCCAAATCAGATGTAAGCTTGAATTGTGAAATTTTTTCAACATATAAGAAGATATTAAAATAATGGACAACATACTAATATACAGAATCATTCATTGAGCATTCCAAAATATCATGTAAAAATTATTACTTGAGCATATATTAGTAGTTTATTTCATACTCCTGATGTATAATAGGTATGAAATAATAAATAATTATTTTTTCTGTCTTAAAAACTTATTTGTTTAGTATTATGTTAATAGATTTTTCGTCCCCTCATTAACTAATTTAAATAACAAAACCCTTTTAAAATTATAGCCAATCTAATTAGTAGATTTACTTTTTCACTAACTTCAAACCTGGATTACTTAATTTCTAATTAATTCTATAATCACAATTTCTTTAATAAATCTTAAACAAAATTGAATAATACCAAATCTTATAAATATAATAAAAATTTAACTTTTTTAAAGCCCATTATCTCTTTTTATAGATATCTAACACTCTTAGATGAAAATATTTAGGAAGATTCTAAAAAGGCCAAATATTTGAACTTATTTATTGAGATTTTTACAAACAAGAGCTTTAAAAATTATCCATTCACTAAATAATTTAAAATCTAATCAATAATATTAAAATAGAAATATAAATTATCACTATTTCTTATTTTTATCAATTAATATATATTATCCATTATTTTCGAAGTATCAATCCTCAAAATTAATCTTAAGCCAGACCTTTCAAGCTTAGAAAAAAATGTTTAGCAATCTTAATTCTTTTAAATAAATACATCCATTTAAGTATTAGCTAAAGAAAGAAAAGATTGTTAATTAATCAGCCCTTTAAACCTATAGTCAAGAATAGGAAGATCCCTAAATTATGCTTAAGGTTTGGAGAACCATAACTTTAACATTGGATGAAATAGATGATGAAATCCCTATTATCAAAGAGTAATTGATTATAGAATGACTTAATATAATGTAGGTTGAAAGAGATTAGCACATCAAAATATTAATAAATAAATCAAAACTGAAATGATTCTTTATGGGAATATGTTAACTTAAAATCCTATGATAATATCTCAAAATAAATTGAAATAACATTATTAGGATGAGGAATTATTCTGTATTAGCTGTATTTATTAAACGCATTGAATTAAAAATTAAATTTAAGAACCCTATTTTTACTCTAGTTTAGAAAATGCTTTACATTTGATTGAATACTTATCCTCCTGTTGATACATCTAAGTTGGTTAAAGTTGAAAATTCTTGTAAAAATGAAGTTTTTTTAGTTTTTGTGTATCTACGATGGTGTAATGTCACCCCTTTTTAGTGTTTTATAATAAGTCTTCAAAGTTCTTATGGTAAGTAATCAGTAAATTTTAACCTTGTTTCCAAATTTTTTAGGTCCCTTGGACATATAGATTTTTATTGAAGCAAGATTTAGATTTTTTGCAACTAACTAATTAAATTCTATTTTAGAATCTACACTTATTCAGCCAGATACATCTACTAAAATTAATGAAGTAGGTATACTACTAAATTTTTTTATTTAAATACAACAGTAAATTAGTTTCGTTACAAGTGGACCTTCTGCCCGATTAGATGATAAATTAAACAGTTTTCTGTAGATTTTGCCTGCCAATACCATGTAAAATTAATAAATTCAAATTAAAAATTCCATAAGATCTGATAAATTATATAAAATTTAATTTAAATTTAATTTGAACTTTTTCAATTTGACTCATCCAACTATATTTATTTTGAAAGATTTTTAATTATTTTGATCAAAATATTTCAACAGCATCATAGGTATTTGCTGATTTGAAAACCAAATAATTATATAAACTCATTTATTTAAGTTTCTATTCCAATTCTTTATGAAAATGATTTCAAAAACAAACCACTAAATAATTGGAACTCTTAAAATCCCTATGTAGAGGTTCTCTTTCTATAAATTATCAAATGGTGCAGATTATTTTTAGTTTTTTAAATATAATCATTACTCTCACTATACAATATTTATTGATATTGTTTCTAAAATTAAATCTAGAGCATTTTCCTATATGATTTGATATAATATCCTTATTTGAGATTATTCATTATATCTATCAAGCATTTTAAATTTTACAAGGGTAAACTGAGCAAATTTATATCTATTTTCCAATACTTTAACAATTGTAATAAATTTGAATAATTAAACGTAAAGTAAATAATGATACCTACTGGAAGGGAGGATAAAGAGATAATAATTATATATACTTTGTCAAATATTGAAAATAAATAGTCTTGTTGTTGGAATATCGAAATTTTTATACTGATTAAATAGAACTAGAAGATTCTATTAGCTGAGATTTGATATTATATCTTCCCTTATTGTAACATAATTACATAATTGTACATCTTTGGCTTGCCTTTTGATTGTATTAAAGCCTCTAAATTCGCTTGATATTTATGATAATAATCTGACAATATAACTCTTTCTTTAACATATTATATTCACTTCTTCAAATACTAATCCACTCAATTTTGTTTTGATTCAACCTTAAGAATTCAATAAAAATTTATTTTATTATTTCAACAAATGAATAGTGTAACTTTCAAAAAATATCAAAAGAAAAAATAATTTAAAATTAAACATATCATTGTATAAAATTTCAAACTTATCTTTCGAAATTTGATAAATATTAATAAAGATTGCACATTTAATATTATTGGTGATAATGAAAAAGTTATTCAATTTTTAAATTAATTTTGTATGACAATAATATTTTGAATATGATAAAACCAACTGAGTATTATAAATCAAAATTAAAAGTAAATAAATTTCTAAATATAAATCTTGAAATGAGTATTTATAAATATAATCCATTAACTAAAAAAATCAATAACAATATAAACTAGAAGTGATATTTTAGATGTTAAATAATAAGACCAAAGATGTTCAAAATTCCACAAGTCATAATTACATTAGTGCATAAAATTTAATTCTATAGCTTCAAATTATAATAAATAATCATTTTTTTTAACTCTCATTAAAATCTTTATCATAGATTTACAAATTCAATTTTGACTTATTGAAATTGAGGATAATAATACTCTTCAATATATTAATAATATCAATCAAATCATATTCTAATATTATTTTTTATCATCTATTATTCATTTCTAAATTCTTCATATAAAGTTATATACAGCTCAAATTCAAATATCCGGAATTCATACAATTAGCATTTTGATATTAATACAAATAATATAATATCCTAATTCAGTATAATCAACTTAAAAATCTGTAAGATTTATAAAATAACAAGTTTCCTTTAACACCATCTTTTAAATGACATACTTAATTATAATTAAGTCGATGTTAATGAAAATAAAAATTAAAACAATTAATCATCATAAAATAATTACTTTTTTATGCTAATGAACTAAAATATATAGATTTTTTGATAAAATGATTTAATTTTCCAAAATTCAAATAAAACTAATCAAATTAAAGTTAGTATCTTTCTTATTTCAAACAGAGAATATAAATTTTCTATTTAAAATAATATATTAATCTAACAAGGATCCGAATTGCTTAAGTTCTACATATCTCTTGCATGATTAAATGTTATCATTAAACAAAAATTATCAAAATTAAAGCTCTATTTGTATTAAAAGTTGAGACATCTTAATTTAATTTTTAAACATAATTAATTAAATTTGATGTGCATTTTTCTGTTAAAATTTATTAATAAATTAATTTGATCAATTAATTTTATCATAATATGTAAATTAATATGAAATGATATAATTAAATAATTATTAGATGGTTTTTTCGATATATGAACCTTATTATTCTTTTTCCAAATATAATTTACTTTATATCTAAATGAATTATCGTTATTTAATTGTATAATATATATATTGAAGCGCTAATGGTTATGGAGTTCCTAAAGAAATTTTTAGTTTCATTAATTTATTCATTTTTACACTTTTCCTTTTACTCTGTTTTATTAGAACTTTATTAAAGCAGTTATTGATTCATCCAAAAGTTATTATTGACTGTAATAGACAATACAGAAAAAGAGTGTATTAATAATTGGAATTTGAAAGTTATAACATTTGGTTTATATATTTTCGATCCTAGTATTTATTTGGTGGTTGCTAAATTAAGATAAGTTCCATTTTTAATTCCTCTATCTTTTGAATAATGAAATCAGGACATCCCGGTGTAATCTTGGTTTTTCGATTACTAAATGATTTCTTGATTTCGTTTGTCTATGAATACTAAAGTATGGGTATTAGATTTTTGGCATCTACTTCCATACGAATATTGGTTTCATATAATAGGATAAAAATGCTTGAAAGGTCCTATTCTTCTAATTTTGTGACTTTGATTAATCAAAAAGAATTTAAATTAAATCTTCTATAATAATTATAGAAGTAAAATATTTAGCTCGATAACATTGAAAGTTATTTCATCTTTTTGTATTTAACTTATGGGAAAGGTTTAAAATTAAAAAAATCTCTAAATAAGATTATAAAATAGGTGTAACATCAAAAACTAATTTTATGGAAAAAATTTAAATATATTTGCATTTAATAATATTTTTACTAATATTATATAGATTAGCTGGTCTTTTAGAAGTTACAATGCGTGTCTATCATTAAATTTTTGAACTATAGTATTACTAATTTTAGATAAAAACATTAAGTCTTTTGTTCAAAATTTCATTTTGATAAATTGAATTCAAAACTCCATTTAAAATAGGCATTGAAGGAAATACCAATTTATGTATTAGATAAATCTGTGAGAAAAAAAAATCTTTCCTTTTAATTAAGTATAGACAGATTTAATTAGAATTTTTACCACTAATTTTAAACTAAAACTATAAATGTATACTTCTGTTATCTTAAAACTATCAAAAATTTAATTTTTTTTTAGGATAGAGATATCTTAATTATAAATCAAATAATTGGTTCTCAACAACTCATAAACTGTGGAAACAGTTTACTAATATTTTTTACTCTTCTTTCACTTAAATTTAGTAACCATACACAATAAAGTTTATAGTAAACATAACATATCGTAATACAATTAAATTTGAGTCTTGATAATTAAAAATAATTAAAATATAAAATGGTTAGGCTGACTTCTAAAGAAACGTAAAAAATGTATCAAGCCTAAACTAAATCAAGAATCTCCTCTCCAATTCTAAGAGATTAAATATTCTACTTTTTGAAATATCATAATTTATAGATGCAGCCATAAAGGCTTAAGAATTGAAGAAGCATAGTTAATGTTGTACTAAATATCATTATTTTAGATTTTGAGTGATTAAAAAATTATGCAGCTGAATTATTGTGATTGTACCTATTATTATCGGTAAAAATAAATCAATGCTAATATTCTTTTATATATAAGCTTAACCAAATAACTATGATATTTTATACATTAAAATTGGTTTCAATTGTGCCAAAAGTTCAAATAAATATTAAAAACTTCATTTTTAATGTGAATGTTTCATATTAATTAAAATTCTTATAACATGTCATGCAGATAAAAAATTGAGTATGGCAAAAAATAAATAATTTTTTTAAATAATACTTAAGCTCTAATATTTGCATCTGTTTACATTCATCATTAATTTGATTTATTATAGATAAATTAAATGCTATCTAAATGATGTAGATTAAAAGCATTCTTGTCAAATTATGTTAGAAAATAATTCAAGAACATCTGAAGTACTAAATTCAATCAAAGGTAAAACAATTCTTTTATTAATTATGGTAAAATCCACCAAAATCTAATTCTCATTAAATAATTTATACTAATCTTTAATATGGTATGAGGATAATAAGAAAATATTAAAATTGCCAGAAAAAATTTCTTTGACTAACAGTAAAAGGATTATTATTATTAAGATAATTTTCAAAGAGATAAATTTATAACATTAGATTATAACAGGATTATTCATCCTATTATAAGTTTTTGCAATAATTTTTTTATTTCTTTTAAATGATATCGTTTTTACCGATATGTCTGTAGGTTATTACTTCAGATATAAAAGAAAAATTCTCATTAATTTTGCTCTTAATATTAATTTTGCAAATGAATAGAATAAAAAGATCTCATAAAATCAAAAAGTAACTTACAAACAAGATCTTAATCATTAATTTTGAAAATGCTTGTTTAGATATCCTTCTAGATATACAAGACTTTATATCTCTTTTGTTACTTTAAATCAAATTTTTGAATCGTAGTAAATAATTATTGATAAATTTATACAAAAGTTTTCATATAAGCATTTTTAATAGAAATAGAAATTATTTAATAAAATATCTTAAAATATAGAAATGTAAGCAGTCTCTGAGTCAATTATAAGAAAAGAATACGAAAGAAAAGTGAATGAATGCATAGAAAATTCGTAATAAGCAATAGAAGTATATATATTATTTTATAAATGTAAATAGAACTCATTTAAGAATATTGATGCCATACTTGATGAACTTCTTAATAATGAGTGTAATTGGATTAATGTAATAACATCTTAAAAATAATAATAATAAGAATTACCAAATGTCAATTCAAATATTTTACATAAATTTTAAGATGACAATTTCCAAAAATAAATCTGTGAAGAAGTGACATCTTTAATCAAAATTAATATTCAACATCAAGTTTAAAAGAAAGAAGAATAATATCAAGAATTAATTAAACAAAATTAAACATAATTGGAACATTAAATCAAATAAAATGATTCTTAGATTAATTCATAAACTATTGAATAATCATCCGCACTTGTAGCTACTCAATCAAATCTCAAACCATTTACTTATTAATTAATTAAACAAAATTCAATTAAATTAGATTAATGGTGTTATGCAATTGCTGTTAATAAAGATTGTTCAATATTAATTGCTGGATGTAATAGTTAAATTAAAGTATTTGAATTTATATAAGGAATCTTAAGATAAGTTTAAATATTAAGTGAACATGGGAGTTCTGTACATACTTTAAATTTCATGTAGAGATCAGATATTTTATATCTGGTAGTTAAGATAGTTCAATGATAATATGGGCAAGAAATTAAAATAATTCATGGATTTGCCAATAGATATTGAATGGACATACTTATAGTATCTATTGTTTGTTATTAAATAATAATGAAGATTATATTGTATCTGGCAGTTAGGATTCTAAGATTAAATTCTGGTAGAAGTAAAATGGATAGTTGTGCTCTTAGACAATAACACATCATACAAATCCTGTATTGGGATTAAGTTTCCATGAATAATAGAATATATTGATATCTTGTGGACAAGATAATTGTATATTAATAATTAACAACCAGAATTGAATAAATAATGGATTGTAATATAAAAGATTACAGTAGAACAGTTAGGATATAGATTATGCTTTATTGATAATAATACATTCACATTTTATCCTAATAGTAGATAGTACATAAATGTTTTTGAGATGAATAATACTAATAAATAGTATACTAAAATAAAGGATATTCCTGTAAAAAGTGGTATTGATAATTTTTTCTTTGCTTCATAATATTTAAAATCAAAATGTAGGCTTGTCAATAAGAATGGTTCAAATGTAAGTTTAATAAGGAAGAAATAAAATGGAGAGTTTATGATTGAGGAATCTATTGAGTTTGGAACATATTATATTTTTGGGTAGATGACTGATGATGGACAGTATTTGATTACTTGGGATATTCAATCAAAAGAAATTCAGATCAGAAAATATCAGGAAAAATGAGTTATTAAATTAGAAGTAATCACCAATTAACATAAATTAAGTTTTTATTTTAATACTCTTCTTTCTCAAAAATATATTATCTTCATTTTAGTATTTTATTCAATAATAGTTAAAGAATTCAACTAAAAGCAAGTTAATTTTTTAGTAGTCATCATATGAAAAGTATAAGATTATCTAAAAATAATAATAATAGCAGCCTAAATAATTTTTAATATGTAATAAATCTAATGATAAGGGTTTGATAGAAGAAATCTAAATGAGATTCTCTGGATAAGTGAATGGGTAATTAGCACAGCAATAAAAAAATGAGAATAATTGTCTAAGTTTTGAATCTTCAAAAAATTATAACCTTTTTAATTTAGTGAATCAAAGTCATGAATTGCTTAACATATAAAAGAGAAACAAATCTAGCCGAATTCAAAAATTCAAAAGACTAAATATTAAAATTCTAAAATAATAGGATGTAAATATTGATAATTTGAGAAAAACACGATTTATCCACAAAATAATTGGTTTCTAATCTTATGAGTTTTTTTCAATTTATTATATTTAGTATTATAAATAGAAATTAGTTTGAAATATACCATCGAAACATGGTATTTGGTAACCAGATCAAAAGGGTTAACAAGGTTAATCAATACATTTATTTACATTACAATAATAATTAGGATTAATTTTACATATAAATTCATCTTTTTCTGTTTTTTTTATGGATGAATGAAAAATATTGAATTTTTACTAATGCCTGCATCTTAGCAAGCTATAAGAGTTTAGTAAGTATAACATTATGCTTTAACAATACAATGAGTACAATTGGAAAGGCATAATTTACCTGCTATGATATTTTAGCAGCTTTGATTATTGTTATATGGTAAGCATCTTTCCATTCATTGATTAGAATGGAGAACTAAAAAATGCATATAAACATAAATTTTCACAATTGTTAGGGCTTTTTTAAAATGAAAATTAAGTAGTTCGATTGGCTTTACAGTAACTTTTTGCTTTTTAACATATAAAATGTGTTTTATATTGATTCGCAGGTCTTTGTTATTTAAATCCTACTTCCTTCGATTGATTAATCCATGCATAGGTTGTTAGATAAATTTTTAAACTACTTAAATACATTTATATCCATCAGATATAAAATCATTATGATTTAATCTACAAAAATTATTATCAGGAGATTTTAAAGGATTTACATTTTCATTTCATTCCCATAATTTATCCCAACTAAATACACAGGTTTCCACATTTTCATATTGAGCACAAAAAGTAAGTGATATATATTTTATATATTTGATGTACAAAAAGGTGCGACTATTTGACATTCATAAAAGGTTTTTAATTTAGCATCTTCACATTTAGAATAATTAATACATGAATTCTAAATCCATAAACAGAGTTAATTTTTAGATTGAATACAGTAATTTAAGTATGTATATTCATCACAAGGGTCTCCTAAGATACAAATATTACTATTAGTTATACATTCACTCAATTATTATTTGCAATCAAGATTAGTTCGACTATAGAAATTAGAACATTTGATACCTCTATTAAATTTATCTCTTTAATCCAAAATACATATTTTTACTCCTTAAGTATTAAGGCCAATATAAGCAGTTCTGTGAGTAGAACATTAACCAAAAATAATATAATCAATTCCATTAGTTGTGCATTGTGATTCAATTAGTTACATAAAGTATGAGATGTAATATAATTTAAGTAAATCATCACAAGTTTTAGAGCGAAATTAACTAAAGTTTTCAATGAATGCACATGTTTAATTTGATATTCTTGAATTCAAAAAAATAGATTAGCTGTTAAATTATCAATTACAAAAATGAGTCCATGCACATTCTTATTTTCTTTACTTAGCAGATTAAATGATCATATTTATAACATTATTTAATTGATATTCATCAATATTATATATCTATAATTCTTAATTAGTTTTTAATTTGTTAGATGTTTCATTTTCATACAAGAGTTTTATCACTACTAATTGTGATTTCATTCATCAGTGTTGCTTTTTATGGTCCATGAATAGCTATAAATATGGAATAAGTAATCTGATTACTTTTAAATTCAGAACATTTCATTCTGTAATTAATACACTTTAATTCATCATATATAAAATTGATGCTCTTAAGGTGAAATATTATAGCACTAACCCTAATTTCTTTTAAACTTTTAGCAAATAGCTTAATATGCTAGATATTTTGTACATAAAGTTGATTATTAAATACATCCTTCTCCTTTTATTATCCATTTTTTATTTAAATATGAACATTCCTAATAAATTTTCTACATGATTGATTTGATTAATATTCCAAACTGTAAATATATATTCATTATTTATCAACTATTTGATAAGAGTATTTGGTGTATATTTATTTTATAAATGTACTTATAACTAAATCTAAATACTTTGGTAACATCCATGCACGAACTCAATGCATTCAGTAATAGTTGAAGTATTGATATTATCATAACAAGATCTATGATCACTTAAATCATCAGATTTAAATTTTTCTTTTCCCTTTTAATTTAAAAAAGACTATCACTTAATTATTTAATTGTTTTTATCTATATTTCTATTATTATTCATAGCTATCTGCTATTTCTTAATATTGAGAACATTTCTTTTTTTGTTAACATTTTTAATTTTAATAAAAGAATACCAAAACATTAACTACTTTAGTTTTTTCTTTAACCAACAATTATTTATTATTGAATTTTCCATTTCAACATTATATAATTTCTAAACCTTATGATGGACCCTATATTCTTTTCTATATCACAATGATAATGCAGCTCTAATGAATATTACACAATTAATTGCGTATCGCTTATTTATTATTCAAATTTATTTATAGTCATAAATTATTATTTAAGAAAGAAATTGTAAATTTACATCCAAATTTAGCTATTTTAATAAATTGAAATGTAATTGCATAAGAAAATAACATTTTTATTTTTTGTTATGCTCATCTTCCATTTGTTTTAACTTATTTAATGAAAATAATATTGCAATCAGGCTTTTACTTTAATATAAATATTAGTATTCTTTATAATTAATATGATAATAAAATCATTCTGATTATTAAAGAAATAATACTATACGTTGATAAAATAATCACTTCCTATTTATATATGCATTTGATGTTATTTTTTATAAGTTATTCAAAATCAAATTGTGAGTGTTACTTCAAATCTGGTATTTGACTATAAGTTTTCTCAAACGATAACAAGTTCATAACAAATATTTGCATATATTCTAAAATACCAAAGTATCACAATCTTATTGAAATTTGCATAAATTGCATTTGAATATTCATCTGAACGATTCAATTCATTGTAATGTTCTTTGGTTTCCTTTTATCTATATTAAAATTTGACTATAGTCTTTTTAATTGAGCAAAATAGCGGTTTTTCTTTAATATAACTACATTTGATGTAGATATCTTGAGAATTGAAACTTAGAAATATCAATCCATTTATCAAATCAGCTGATGATCTAGATTTTCCAATTTTAAATATCCAACGATTGATATGATGATCACAATCATTTTTAATCGAGACTTCACAAGTTCTTGTTTTTGCTATAATGAATATTAACATTAATAAATTAGTTAGTTTTGATATATTCTCTATATGAGCTAGAAAAATGTATCAAAATTTATTAATTGTTTATACCAAAATGAGGGAATGGATACAATCTAAGTGCAATCACTATAAGGACTATCTTCATATCCATTCTTATCAAACTATTACAAAACAGAAATTTCATAGAATCAGATGAGAATTTAAATGGGAATAGTAATTCATCACATGAAATAAATTAAGAATAGCATTCTTGTTGGAGATAGAGACAACCAGTAAGATGATCATTGCAATCTTTGGGCATTATTAGTCAAAATACTTGCGCTCCATCAACATAAGTACAAGATTTTTGGTAAAATAAATACCTAAAATTATCATACTAAGACAGACATACAATTTTTCAGTATAAGTATAAGTATAGAAAGGAGGTAATTAATAAAAAAAAGTAACTATTTAGAGGTAACATAGTATTAAGTAATCTTACTCTATTAGCATATGCCAATAAATCACAAGAAGTCATTGCAAGTTTTTACATCTTGGGAATTAATTAATTTTTCTTCAATCTATTCCTTTATCATTTTGAAATTATATAAGTAATTGTACTTTTATTGATTAGTTATTAGATTTATTGGAATAGAATACTATCAATCACTGAAAGCATAATAAATTGATCCAACCAAATATGCTTGTTTCATTTCCTGTAGTCTTACATTCCTTGAATGAATTAAGAACAATTAGAAGTTTGTCCATATTTTTTAAAGAAAATCCCTAGTGGATCAAATTAATTTTGTTCCAGCCACGATATTAATGCCATTTGGTTTTTATGCTAAGTCTATTTCTTATAGATTTAAATTCTTCCAAAATAAAATGGATAAGTTTCTTAAGTTCCTGATTAATCTTAACATGTTATGCTAGTTTAATAAATAAATTTTGAGTCATCAAAAAAGAACCTTAAAGAATTAATTCATTTCCAAGTCTGAATATGCTATAGATTTGTCCCCAAAATTTCTTATTCATAAAATAATTCATCTCCATAATAAGATTCATAAGTAGTCTCTAATGGATCTCAATTAAAATACTTGACATTGATCATTATTTCTCGCGCTTCTGCCATATTACAAGTCTTTATCTAGCATTAGGCCTATGAATCTACATCTTTATGATTGTAACATTGAATAGGAGTAAAATTTAAATGACCCATTAAGTATCCAAAGAAATAATTATACTCCTATATTATTTAAATTAAAATTTATATAAAAAAAGAGTGAATTAATTTCACATCATTTTACATTCTTCCACTATGAAAAAATAATAAATTAGAAACATTTTCCATAGACAAAATTTTAACAAAATAATAAATAAAAAATTAAATTAATTTAATAAAAAATTCACCAACCCGAAGACTTGAACTCGGATTTCTGCAACTTCAGCACAGCGTCTTCCCTCTAGACTACTTGATGAGATTTGAAATAACAATTCTAAACTTTTTATATATGAAATTTATTTATTTAAATATTTAACCATATCTTTATTAGCAGTAAATAAATATAGAAAAAATAAATTTATATGAAATATTCTCCACTTTCTTTGTTAATTTTTCTTTCCTTTTGAAAATATTGATAAATTGTTTTCTTAAGAACAAAAAAATGTACATCATTTAATATTAAATTTTTTGCTAAAATCCTTTTTCCCATACAAAAATTTCTTTTTTGTTTTCCCAACCTTCTTATTAAACAATTTGCTCTAACTCTGTGTAAGATAATTAGTGGTTGTTTTCTTATACAAAAGTTTTATTAGGTTATCTTTTACTCTCAATCATTACATAAATAAAATTTAATTGAATCTTTAACAAATCGAACACTTTCTTCATCATAATTTTTTTTTGAGAAGTTAGAGTTCAAGACTTCTCAGCAGTTAAGCTAAATTTTTTATATTTTGTTTTATCATATACTTATTTTTAATATATTCTCTAATATCTTTTAATTAGGTATTGGTATAATGAGTATTTTTTTTGTTTTCTACCCACTCTATATATATTATTTTGATAAAGACATACATTTAAATTAATTGTCTAAGATCATTTTTAATAACACAATAATATCATTAAATCAGTATTACTTAATAAAATTATATAATTTAATGGTTTAGAAGATGGCAAATATAGATAAAAGAGTATGCTCGCTTAATAATTGTCACTTAAATGGGAATTAAATAACGATCTTGTATATTTTTAAGAAACATTATTTTCATTGATATTAATTCTAATAACAACTCAAACTATCCTAAATAGTTTACTGAGCCCAAAATGAGGACACTAAAAAATACCATTTGATATCTTTATATATTCCAATTTTTTTAAATATTTCCATCCACAATAGTATAAGGTAATTGAGAAATAATATTAAACCTATGCAATTTAACCACCCTATAAACGAACTTAAATTCTACTAATGGTTCATTCCCTCTTTTAGCAAAAGTCTCTTAATAGGTTTTACTCATTTTTAATTATAACACAAAATTCGTTTTATATGCTTTTTACTTATTTTAAATTTAATTCTACTTAATTTAATCATTATTCTTTTTTAAACTTTCTTTATATTAAATCAAATTTCATTTTTGAGAATCAAATACCATCATTTTTTTTTTAAATAATAATGATAGAAAACCATAATTGTGAGTAAAACTATAATTATTATACTAAATAATAATGATACAATAAAGGAAGTTTTAGAAGACTTAGCTATGATACCAATCCTTATTAGAAGTATGTTAATTAATTTGGAGAGAAAATAAAGCACTAAATTTAAATGGTTAGCCAAACCAAAAAATACACTATTTTTAATGTATAGGAATAATTTATAAATAATTTCTCTAAATTATTAAATATTTATAATTATAGTTAAAAGTTCGATCATTGAAAATTCAAACCTAAAAAAAAAAATGAAAATTAGAAAGCGGTATGAATAAAAAGGAAAGAAAAATATTTGGTTACTAAGAAATTTGGAGAGAAATCAAATTAATTATTTTTAGTAGATTCAATTTTCACAGTATAGTTATTTATTCAATTTTCTTAAAAAAAGACTTGTAAAAGTTTATTTGATTTACCAATAACTGATATGACCGCAATCATAATCAATACTAAATCTTTAGAAATTCTTGTTTCTTCTTAACAAAAATGAATAAGATCTTATTGATTTATAGTATAAAGCTTGAAAAATAAATAATAGATATTCAAAATTATTTTTAAAAGGTAATGAATTGTGCTGATCATTTTCCAAATCCTATTACTTAGATATGTATAGCTCCTCATAAATGTAAAAGCTAAAGGAAACTTTGTGCTGAATGCGTTGATGAACATGGATAGGACATTAAATTTATAGTTTCAATTAAAAAATTTCGAGAAATGGTTGTCACTAAATTAGAAGAAGCAGAGCATGATTAAAAAAATGAATTAAAAAAATAGAGAATGAATTTCAAATCAGTGCTCACTCAAACTGAAAGTCACATTAAGAAAATTTTGGAAGAATTATCGCTATAAATATCATAAATATATGATATGATTGAGATGAAGGATAAATCATATTTGAAAATCATTAATGACAATATCAATCTAGCACAAGCGTCATATGCAGACTTAGAGAAATTAGTACAGATTATAGGAGGAAATACATTAAATAAATGGAAGGCTTAGAAAAATTCTTATCTGTTAAAGTTGGAAAAAGTGAAGAATTGGTGGGGTCAAGAAATTAAGGATTTTAATGAAAAGTTGAAGAAAGAAATTGTGTCAATATATAAGTAAGTATTTAACCCTATTCAAGAGTTTAATAAAATTAACATGAAGAAGATTTCGATGAAGGGAAAGAAGATCTGTATGAGATGTTAACCCACACAAAAGATATCGATGGAAAACTTTTCAAAGGGATAATGGATATGCTTAAAAAAGAGAAAATTTCAGATTGCCTAAAATTTCTTTCCAATATGGATTCTTAAAAACTTTATTATCAATATATCGATAATAATATAAATATGAATGATTTATAAAATAGCATTCTGAAAATTGCAAAGGTTATCAAATATATTAGTTAACATAACTTTAATAAAGAAGACTATTCCTCTAAAATTTACTTACAAACTACAGGAGTTCTAATTCAAAAAATCTAATAAGAAAATAAAATTATCGAATTTTTGAAATTTTTAGTTCAACTCACAGCTATAGACAGTAAATTAATATAATGCGGGTCAAATTCACTTAATTTATTAGTTTAAATGAAGGTTGAATTGAAGAAAATATGTTTTGAAAATATAAAGATTAAAAACACTTCTTTAGTTGGAGCGAATCTTGTAAGATGCAATTTAAACGGATCTGAATTAGAAAATGTCGATATAAGTGGAATAAACTTGAATGAAGCTTAATTATTTAATTGTAAATGGAAAAATTTGAGAATACATGAGTTACATAAATTGGATGGTCATAATAATACTGTCTATTCATTATGCTTCTCTCCAGATGGTAATACATTAGCATCTGGTAGCAGGGATAAATCAATCCGTTTATGGGATGTAAAGACATGTCAATAGAAAGTGAAATTTGATATTCATAGTAACTATGTATTATCAGTATGCTTTTCTCCTGATGGTACTTTATTAGCTTCAGGTAGTAGCGATTATTCGATTTGTTTTTTAGATGTTAAGACAAGTCAATAAAAATGTATATTAAAAGGCCATGAATAGGAAGTCAACTCGGTGTCCTTTTCTCCTGATGGTAAAACATTAGCATCTGGCAGTGATGATAAGTCTATTCGTTTATGGGATGTATTGACAGGACAATAAAAAGTGAAATTAGAGGGTCATAGTAACAATGTACTATCAGTTTGCTTTTCTCCTGATGGCATCACATTAGCATCTGGTAGTAGTGACTCCTCCATCTGTTTATGGAATATTTTTACAGGAAAACAAAAATCGATATTAAATGGTCATAGTAATGCTGTCCATTCTCTATGTTTTTCTCCTAATGGTAGTACCTTAGCATCTGGTAGTAGGGATTAAACTATCCGACTATGGGATGTTAAGACAGGACAATCATTTATTAAATTTGATGGTCATAGTAATAGGGTCTAATCAGTCTGCTTCTCTTCTGATGGTACTACATTAGCATCTGGTAGTTTGGATAATTCTATCCGTTTATGGGATATTTAGACAGGAAAATAAAAATCTAAATTTGATGGTCATAGTAATTTTGTTCAATCTGTATGCTTCTCTCCTGATAGTTCTCTATTAGCATCTGGCAGCAGTGATTTCTCTATCCGTTTATGGGATGTTAAGACTGGCCAAGCTAAGTAACAATTAGATGGTCATATTAGTCATGTTCGATCAGTTTGTTTCTCTCGCGATGGTGATACAATAGCTTCTGGTAGTAGTGATTTCACAATCAGTTTATGGGATGTTAAGACTGGAAAATTATAATTGAAATTAGAAGGTCATACTAATTAGGTCCTATCAGTTTGTTTCTCTCCAGATGGTACTATATTAGCATCTGGCAGTAGTGATTCCTCCATCAGTATATGGGATATTTAAACAGGAAAATAAAAATGGAAATTAAATGAGAATGATGATTAGGTTAGTTCAGTATGCTTTTCTCCTGATGGTACTACTTTAGCATCTGGTAGCAGGGATAATTCTATCCGTTTATGGAATGTCAAAACTGGAAAATAAAAATTGAAATTAGATGGTCATAAGGATTGGGTTCAATCGGTGTGTTTCTCTCCTGATGGTTCTATATTAGCGTCTTGTAGTGATGATAAATCTATTTTTTTATGGGATGTTAAGATATGGCAATAAAAATTAAGATTAGATGGGCATAGTGATTATGTCCGATAAGTTTGCTTTACTCCTGATGGTTCTATATTAGCCTCTAGTAGTGATGATAAATCTATCCTTATATGGGATGTTTAAACAGGAAAATAGAAATATAAATTAAATGGTCATAGTAATACAATCTATTCATTAAGTTTATCTCCTGATGGTACTATATTAGCATCTGGTAGCCGGGATAATTCTATCCGATTGTGGGATATCTAGACAGGAAAATAAAAATCAAAATTAGAAGGTCATAGTAATACAGTCTATTCACTCTGTTTCTCTCCTGACGGTAGTACATTAGCATCTGGCAGTAGGGATAATTCTATCCGTTTATGGGATGTTAAGACAGAAAAATAAAATTTAAAATTAGATGGTAAAATTGATTATGTCCTATCCATATGCTACTCTCGTGATTATACTACATTAGCATGTTGTAATGATGATAATACTATCTGTATATGGGATGTCTAGACAAGAAAATAAAAATCAAAATTAGAAGGTCATAGTAATACAGTCTATTCGCTCTGTTTCTCTCCTGACGGTAGTACATTAGCATCTGGCAGTAGGGATAATTCTATCCGTATATGGGATGTTAAGACAGGAAAATAACAAATAAAATTAGATGGTTAGAGTAATACAGTCTATTCACTGTACTTCTCTCCAGATGGTACTAAATTAACATCTACTAGTAGCGATAACATTATCTGTTTATGGGATGTTAAGACTGGAAAATAAATTTAAACTTCGGATTAAATTTACAATGATAAAGCTACATTGTTCTAATCCTTACTTTAAAATAATTATTTTTCAGAAGAAGGTGGTATTCATTTTATCTTTATTTAGTAAATTCAAATTTAACTATTCTTGTTATTTCCTAATATCCCAACTTATAAGCATAAAGAGCTTTAATTTTTAAAGGAGAATTTGTAAATCATTCAGGTATAGATTTAAGATAATTATTTTAATAACGAGGAAGCTACATTTTGGAAAGCTAACTATAAATTTTATAAAGCACAATTAAAAATTGAATATTATAACGTAAATTAAAAATTTACAACTTCAATATATATCTGCATTAATTTTATGATATGTAAAAATTGTTTATTAATTGAAATAATGATTATAATGTTTTTTTTCAAAATCTTATTCATTTGTGAAATCTCAATTTATGATTTGCCTTCTGGAGTTTTATTTTTCTATTTCTAGAAAGAATTGAAAATTTTAGACCATGTTCTTATTCTATTAAAATAACTATATTTATTATACTGCAAATGTAATTCTTTTATGAATGAATCTAATTTTAATTAGAAAAGTAGTATAAATCGTTTAAGTTAAATTATGGTGAATTTAAATATTAGAACCCAAGACAAGAGTAATTCTAATAGTAATAAAGGATACTTTTTTTTTGATGTTAAAAATCTTATGGAATTATTTGATGAAAAAATAATAACTTGATAAGTCAACATTTTGCGAATAATATCTCTAAGTAAATTATCAGAAACTATCATTTGATCAAAATCTATTCTTGTAACAAATAGAAATGATAATAGGCTAGTAATTGAAAGTGAATCTTAAAGAGAATGAAATCTATATCCAAGTGTATATAAGTTATACAGGAATAATAATACATTTAATTAAATTTTAAGATGCTTTAATTTATTTTCAAATATTCCTTATATAATACTGTCAATTCTCATAATTTAAAAGTTTTTTTTCAAAAGTGTAAATTATGAATTAGATATCACGAGAATAAGTTGAAAATAAATTAAAAGAAATTAATCAATATTATAATATAAGAGTGATTTGTATAGTTTTTTTGGATTTTAAAATGAATCTTTTCTTTGACTATCTTGAATATTCATTTAATCTTAATGATTAAAAACCAAGTCGCCATAAAATTTTTTTCTTAGTTAAGAAGCATGATGTTTTACATTATTGGGCCATCAAAACTAGAATATTTGTAATAAATATACAAGTTAATTTATTTTTAACTTTATAATCTATCTATTATAATATGAATTCTTATTTTTTGAAACTCTAAATTAAACAAAGAGTATCAAAATTAACCAATATTCTCCTAATCTAAAAGAAATTGAAATTTAGAATGAGAAATCATATTAAAAACTCATATAATATTTAGAATTTCTGAGTATAATAAGTGAAATAGATAGTGTTTTATAGCTGAGCATTATATTAGTAGGAATAATTGGCTTAGTAAGTCACAAACATTATTTTTGGTTTATAATTTCAAATTAAATAGTCTATACATAATCCAGATGTATCTATAAAGTATTAAACTATTTTGAGATAAATTGAATATTTAATTACTTTTTAATACTTCATTCTATAAAATTATGATATTTTCTCACCTTCCATTTCTATATTTTAACGTTTACTAAACATTTAACTAAGCAATGAATTTATTAATGTATTTTAAATCATTTTTTTTAAATTATATGATTATAAATAACTAAATTATCTATAAAATAATATTTGCTATATTCATATCCTTACGATTCTTCTTTTAATGAAAATCTTTTCACAATCTAAATCATAATTCAGAACTGGCAACTATAATAGCTTTCTAATATCAAATCATAGTAAATACTACTTAGAGGTTTAATTATTTAGATTCTTTTTGTATTTTAAAATTTCCATCTTCATTATTTTTTTCATTGTTCTAGTCTTTTATTTTAAATTTTATTGTTATTTTATTTTTATATTAAAATAAAATTCTTAAAATTATGATCAACTTCAAACAAATCACCTAATATCAATTTAAAAATTTCCTCACATATCATTTTCTAATATGATTAATTTCAATAGATGAATTACAACAATTAGAATTAGTATTCCTATAGCGAGTATACTTTATAAATATTCAATCTTATCTAAGAAATGAATAAATAAATTATTATTTGAATCAAATCTATGAATTCAATAATGAACAATAAAAATAGCGATTTTGAATGATTAAGCAATTTGTCAACATTTTAATTAATTTAGAAACTCAAGTAAAATATATCTCACTATGAAAGAAATTTTTTAATCCATAAAGATAATTATAATGAAATTGGATTCATTTCCCCTTAATTATCAATAGCTTAATTACATAATATATTTTTTATTTATTTGACNACAAGTTAATTTATTTTTAACTTTATAATCTATCTATTATAATATGAATTCTTATTTTTTGAAACTCTAAATTAAACAAAGAGTATCAAAATTAACCAATATTCTCCTAATCTAAAAGAAATTGAAATTTAGAATGAGAAATCATATTAAAAACTCATATAATATTTAGAATTTCTGAGTATAATAAGTGAAATAGATAGTGTTTTATAGCTGAGCATTATATTAGTAGGAATAATTGGCTTAGTAAGTCACAAACATTATTTTTGGTTTATAATTTCAAATTAAATAGTCTATACATAATCCAGATGTATCTATAAAGTATTAAACTATTTTGAGATAAATTGAATATTTAATTACTTTTTAATACTTCATTCTATAAAATTATGATATTTTCTCACCTTCCATTTCTATATTTTAACGTTTACTAAACATTTAACTAAGCAATGAATTTATTAATGTATTTTAAATCATTTTTTTTAAATTATATGATTATAAATAACTAAATTATCTATAAAATAATATTTGCTATATTCATATCCTTACGATTCTTCTTTTAATGAAAATCTTTTCACAATCTAAATCATAATTCAGAACTGGCAACTATAATAGCTTTCTAATATCAAATCATAGTAAATACTACTTAGAGGTTTAATTATTTAGATTCTTTTTGTATTTTAAAATTTCCATCTTCATTATTTTTTTCATTGTTCTAGTCTTTTATTTTAAATTTTATTGTTATTTTATTTTTATATTAAAATAAAATTCTTAAAATTATGATCAACTTCAAACAAATCACCTAATATCAATTTAAAAATTTCCTCACATATCATTTTCTAATATGATTAATTTCAATAGATGAATTACAACAATTAGAATTAGTATTCCTATAGCGAGTATACTTTATAAATATTCAATCTTATCTAAGAAATGAATAAATAAATTATTATTTGAATCAAATCTATGAATTCAATAATGAACAATAAAAATAGCGATTTTGAATGATTAAGCAATTTGTCAACATTTTAATTAATTTAGAAACTCAAGTAAAATATATCTCACTATGAAAGAAATTTTTTAATCCATAAAGATAATTATAATGAAATTGGATTCATTTCCCCTTAATTATCAATAGCTTAATTACATAATATATTTTTTATTTATTTGACATATTGGTTTAATCAATATTTCAAGAAAGATCTTTAAATTTAAGCGCTTCATATAGCAATTATAATTTTTTATAATATAAATTTATATATTAAAGTTTATAAAAAATATCAAATATATTTTAAGAAGAAGAAGCAACTATGAAGATGTCACGATCAGACGCAAATCAATCGATTCCCTCATCAGAATCAGCTTACTATGGTTTGCTACTTTAAGGAAAATATTTACCAAATTTACCTTTTCAATTATCACATCTGATTATTTTTTAGGGGTGCTTTTTGAATAAATATATGTTCCACATTTGGAAGAAGTTTAAATAGGCTTACTACTTAAGACCATAAAAAAGTACGAATTGATTGATGAAGTATCAAAATCCCAATCTAATAAAAATTTAGGGAATTGATTAGAAATAAACTCCTGACAAAGATTGGATTATTAATGTTTTAAAATAATTAAAACCAGATCATTTTTTCTTTTAAAAATATCAATAAGATTGTAAATATGACATGAAGACATTTACTCAAAAATAGATTAAGTAAATTTATAGCATATTGTATAGAAAAATAAAGGAACTTGAATTATTAAAGGGAAGAAAAACGAACATGAAAAGGTTCTCTCAAGTATCAAAAGAAAATAAACAGAAGCATAATAATAAAAAAAGCAATTAAGTAATAAAATCTGGAAGGAAATATGGTGAAAAAGATAAAGAGCATAGGTGATTATAAAAAAAAAAGAAAATTTACACCTATCGATTTTTTTATCACCCCATAGATTTTATTATTTATTTAAAAGAACTATTATTAAATTCAATAATCATATTCTTAATTAGCTTTTATTTGTTCTTACTTAATTTTAAATATCATTTTCTTAATCTTCTTGATAAACTTATTCCAAAGAATACAGATATTAAACTTAACTTCTTAATTTAATATCTAGTAAATTTAGATCGGTTAAGTGTTCTTTTTCATTAATACTTTCTGCTTAACTCAATTCAATACACAATATTATTTACCATTTCCAACATTTATTATTTATTTTTATTTCTTTAAACTTCTAGTTAAGATTTAATTCTCTTTATACGCTTATTAACATTAGTTTTGTAATTATTCTGAATTTTTTTTTTGATCTTCCTAGCTGAAAAGATTTCTATTTCAGAAAAATAGAGATAAACAAAATTGGAAAGGAGGCATCACGCATATAGATGTTCTAGCTATATAAAAAGATTGAATCTAAATCAACTAATTTAATATTCTAAGTTCAATTTTGGATAGAGATTTTTTCAAATTATTAAAGATATTAAAATTATTTTCTTAATAAATACTTAAATGATTAAACTAAATTTATAATTATTAATTTATATTTTTAACATAGTATATCGAATACTTAATTCAAGATTCTAAATAAGAAATTTATATTTAATAAATTAGTATCGTTGTTAATTTCATTTAAATTATTTAACATAAAAAAATCTAAGATTATACATTTATAAAATTTATTAATTGATCACATAATTCAATTATTTACACTATAAGCTTTATAAAATAAAGACAGATTTTAAATATATAATAATAAAAGAAATGTTATTAAATCAAGGTTCATCCATTTATAATCAAACCTCCCTATTCTTTTTTTTAGTTTATAGTCTTATCATAATAAATTAGAATTGAAATAACAAAGATAATCAGTATTATGGAAGCTAAATCAAAGAAGGATACTTACGAAATATTGTCTTATTTTTAGAAAATTCAAATAGTGGCTTTGGCGGATGTAAAATAATTAAGAGCCTTTATTCAACAATTTGAAGAATTTAAGAATGTTTTAGAATTAAAAACATGAGTTTATATTGAATTTGAAAGTTATAAAAAAGAACAAAAGAATTAAAAATACTTAAATCTAAGATTTACCATATCAAATCTAAAATAATATGGATCAATATTTAGTATCTGAATATAATCAATTTGTTTATCCGAATATTCAAGTATTACAATTAATAATAGTATTTCGAGAGGATCATATGAATATATTTATTTAAAGAAGAAATCAGATAATATATAAAACACAACTTAAGAAACTAAATAAAGTGATAATGAAGATAGTATTCCTAAAAATGGGATTGTGTAAGTCTATGATATAGGCAGTGCTCCTAAAATTTTATATTCTTATGATTTGGAATCAATTAAAAATATAAATTCTAAATATATAATCTTTAAATTTATAATTAATAATAACCTTTAAAACAACATTTATTTATTTTATATACTTTTTTAGTAACTAAAATTCCATTATCTAATCAACTTTCTGTCTTACTTTCTTCTAATCTTCTTCATTTAATCCATGTATATTAAGTATATCTAAATCTTAATTTTTATCTCCCTTTATTGAATTAAGAGAATTCAAGTGATACCACAATTTCTTTTCAAAACTTAAACCAGGTTGTCTAGCTAATACATGGCCTATCCTGATGTCATCTTTAATTATGTTTTAAAAATGACATTTAACTCTATTAGAAAAGGCATAACCTACTTCAATATTTTATTTCATTATTAAAATCAAATTCCAATTGTCTTATTGAATAGTTTTAAATTAATAAAATCATTTCAATATTTTCCCTTTAATATATGTTCATATTCACTAATAAACTTTAATATACACTTTATTATTATTATTCTAACATAATTTATGTTTCATCTTAAGTTTTTCATTTTCTAAAATTTATCATATAGCCAAATTATACTCTATTATAATCCATTAAAAATGTATTCTAATCTATAAAATAAACAAATGAAGTCTTCATATTTTAACAAGAATCCTTTATTATGATTGGGTTTTTTTCAATAATTGAACATAATTTATATTGCTTATTTTTTTAATTTAAAAATAAGAATAAAAATTCAAGTTTTCAATTTAAATTTATAAAATTTAGAGATTACAGTAAATTAGAATAAAGTTTATCTAGGAGTTTGATTAACTTTATAATTCATAAATAATATAAGATACAAATTTTGTTTAATTTTTTGATATTAATATTAAATTTTGAGTTGAATCATGATTTGCTCCAATTTAGATATTTAAAAAGATGTATAAATCTTAATGATGAATTAAATGAATTTTATTGATGATAGCTAATAACAACTTTTAAAGAGTGCTCAAACAAATACATAAGCTTAATAAAAAGAATATTTAGGCCCTCTTCTAATATAGTTTTTGGGATATTCTAAGTATATAATAGAACATACATAAAAGTACCTACTGTTTCTAAGGATTAACTGTCTTATTATCTCGTGATAAAAAT